TCGCGATCGAGTTCGATTTCGTGGTATTGTTACAGCCCTAGTGGATAGGGTGGGGTGGGGAGTAACTGTAGTGATGTGGTGACGTGGGGAGAGGGTATAGTTTAATAGGTAGTTTCGTGGATGAGCGAGAATAGTTGACTGCTTGATGGTAAGTGGAGAGACGGATAGTGACTAGGGGGAATGTAGTGGGAGGGGGCAGATAGTGGATGTTGAATGTGTAAGCTGGGAGGGATAAGCTGAGTAGTGTCATGATGCTGAGGTGGAGGGGAATAGATGAGTAGGTGAATGTGTAAGTGGGAGGGGAATAGTTGAGTAGGTGAATGTGTAAGTGGGAGGGGAATAGATGAGTAGGTGAATGTGTAAGTGGGAGGGGAATAGATGAGTAGGTGGATGTGTAAGTGGGAGGGGAATAGTTGAGTAGGTGAATGTGTAAGTGGGAGGGGAATAGGCAGTAGAGTGAATGTTAGTGAGAGGGAATAGAATGAGTAGGGTGAATTGTGTAAGTGGGAGGGATAGTGGTTGAGTGGTGATGTGTAAGTGCGGAGGGGAATAGATGGAGGAGGTGAATGAGTAAGTTGGGAGGGACTAGTGTGAAGTGGGTGAAATCGAATCGAAGGAATCGAATCCAGAGGCTAATATCGAGAACCGGATCGAATCGAGAGGCTTTTGTATCGTTACAGCCCTACTATCCACACATCCATCTATTCAGGTACTCCCCTCCCACCCCAGCGAGCGATCACACTCTACCTTGTCCACTGCATCGGACGAGATGTCGACCCATGTCTCGGCGGCGTTGTTCCAGAATACGCCGACGCTGTTCCGCTCGTTGTGCGCGAGCATGTAGGGAACGGCGCCGTACAGCGCCATCGGGTTGTACAGCTCGTACTCAAACACGTCGAGGTTGTAGAGGCGGTAGGGGTCGCCGCTCCTGCGAGGGGGGAGGAGGCATAGCGAGCACAGCTGTTACCACATCGTTGCCACGTACGCACACATATGGAGGTACATACACGCACCCACATACGTCCACACGTTCACAAAATACCTGCATACATTTACACACACATGCATGCACAGATACATGCACACACACAAACACACATGCACGCATTCATGCACGCACGCACACACACACTCACATGCGAGCACAGACAAATTCAAATGTATTATTGATTATTTGTTGGTTACGCGAAACCGTAATTGGTAATATGAATGTGTACTTGGTAGCAACAGTGACTTATGTTAAAGAGAAATTCCATTCAAAAGCCAGCAACACATACAGCCGGCTTGACATTCTAGATTAACATTATCAGATGATCTTGAAGTAGAAGAGCTATTCTGAAGAGCTGATAAATTAGCTAAATTCTGGTTCTCAAACATTCTATCGGCTACTCCACTTAATAACTGGCAGAGCCTGAGGCAGCAGAGAAGAGTTCTACTATTTCCAACAGAAAACAGTACATTAAAAATCGAACTGTCTAATAGACAGTCTTGGAAACAAATATGAAAACCCAGCCCAACCGAGCTCTGAGCAGAGGAAGAGAAAGAGAGACGGAGCAAAGGAAAAAAAGAGAGAAAGGGGGAGGAAGAAAAAAAGAAAGTGAGGGATGGGGAAGGAGGGAGATATAAAGGGAGGGAAAGAGGGAGAGGGGGAAAGAGGGGAGAATAGAAAGAGATAAGAGAGAAATAAGAACGAGATTGCTTACTTGGTAGTTTTGAGTGCGAAGCTCTCAGCATGCTCAGGAATTCCATAGACATGCTTGAAGTCCAGGAATGAGAAGTCGACCCCAACAGAACTGGGTCCTGGAGTAAAACGACAGAAAATATGTTTTGCACAGGCTTCGAGGCTTCTACACAGATAGCTAACAGGCCTATTTCTTAATTTTAGTAGTCCTACCCAGCACTTTAGATGCGGATCAATAACTGGGTAGTAACTCGTTGTCCATTCAACACAAACATAGTTTAGTAACGTGTGCATCTGTCTATAAATGAGAGTTATGATGTTTCTGCTGGGTAACGGTTATATAGAGGTTTAACTTTAGTTAAACTGTTAAATAACCCTTTATTCCTTCCTGTTTTGACAGAGTGGCAGAGAGCAAATTATTTAAAAATAAACAGAAATCATTACGGAAATGATAATGTACCATGAGGCTTGGTGTCCTGGTGCGATTTGAAGGTTTCTTCCCACATTCCTTCCTCATCAGGATCCTCTTCTGCAACGACATCCTCTTTTTTCTCAGCAGCTTCGTCCTCTGCTTCCTGAAGTTAACCGAAAAACAAAATAAACATGATCGTTTGACCCTATATGACTTATGCCGCAGACTTTCTTGCAGGATGACAGTTCTATACATTTTTCGACTGTTACACAAATTCTGGTACTGCAATGGACCCTTTGTTTAAAAAGGCGATGGCAAATAACTATCTGCAGTCTATATCAACTTTATTTTATTTTTCAATAGATTTTCATGAAATATATGTGTTTGCACTGATAACAACACCTATCCAAGTTTGGTCATCATGCAAACACATCTTTCTAAAGTTTGAATATCTCGTCTTGCTAGAGGACAAGAATAAATCATAATAACCTTTTCTTCTGCCTGCTCTTTATCAATGTCTAGACGCCTGCAAAAATAAAAGCGAGAAGAGCATTCAACACGTGACACCACACTACTTTGCAGTACAGAAGAAAAATCGCGTGACTAGAGTAATTACATGTAATTTATATTTCGTGAGCATGGACTCCAATCACAAATCCGCCTGTAGTGATGGATGATGCCAGGGAATAATAAAGTTGGGCCGAGAATGTCATCACAAGATTGCCCAAAATGTAAGGGGTTGTTTGCATAGCTAAACATTACATAATCAGTGTAATCACTCCAGTTTGAGTGCCATGATTACACCAATACATTCTGCTTTCTGTTTCCTAAGATTCCTATACCGAATTTCTTTTACCATTAGCATGAAAATTGCTTCAATCTATAATTAAAACTGCTAGGAACTACTAAGAAAAGACTTGCAGTAGTTTCCATGAATCTTCATACTCAAAATACATAATAGAGCACCATTTGGGTAATAGTATCCAAGAACACAAATTCCAAACATTGGCACTTCACGCGATATGCTGAGCCCCCTCAAATATGAGCTGAACCCACCCCTAATAATTTTCACAATAAGGAACCAGGTGGCTTCTACGTTCTTAGCACACTTTCATCACTGGATACCTACTGGTACTTCTTCTGCCGGTAATGTTCGACATTCAGCAGTCCTCGAGGGTTTGTACTAATCACCAGAGTATCTCCCAAGTAGAGGTCAAGGCGGAATGGAGCCGACGTGATGACAAGTTTATTACTGTCACCAAACTCGGCCACCAGCCGCTCGTCTGACTTTGACGTCACCCTCAAACTGTAACAGGAAACATTATAGGCACAAAAAGTCTAGTCTTGACACCACATTCAATTTATGCCAGCAAATATTAAGCACATGTGTGAATTTAGACGAATGACAATCAATACGCTGTGATACGTTTCGCTATGTTAAACTTACGTTTGTTCTTTTGGCTGTCCAACTAATGAATCTTTGACTTCGTATCTGGGCCGAATAGGATTCAGTTCAGATATCTTAAGCCTCAACGTTCTGTCCTCCAGTGCAAACACGGTTGATGTGAGAACTACGTTGGTTTTTGTGTCGAGTATGTTGAATGATAGCTGAGTTTCACTTGCTAGTAAAGTGTTAAGCTGAGCTATGTACGATGATTGACCTGATTGTAGATTTCTGTTGCGTCTGTAAAACAGGGAAATGTAAGCGAAATATTAATTACATACAAATTATCATAAGATAGTATTTAATACTAGTTCTGGTCATACCCATTTGTAATCATAAATATTTGGCTCTTGTCGCTGAGTCTAGTTAATATTGTCAAATATATGAATCTACTAAAAAAAACATTGAATAAATAACTGCATCTTAAAATTATACCAGTAATGTTTCTATATGCTCATGCCACAACATTACAAACTTACTGGCAAAATGAGCTCTGACTGCATGTTTTGAAGTTTCCTTTATCGACTGCTTGAATTGCTGCTGCGATTCCAAGCAGAATCAGAGACCGAATCATTGTACTAGAACTGGAAATAATAAAACGAGAACACATTCTTTACGATTGGATCCATCATAGTTATAGTCATTATGTTACTGTAACGTGTGTACAAGTGTTAGCTAACTCAAATAATGTTGGCTATCTAGATCAGTTTGTTTGGTCAACAATCACTGTCAGAGTCTTGTTGTATAGATAAAAAAAATTCTCGCATTACAAATTCATGACTAATAGTACAATAATGCACGAATGATACAAATAATTAAATGTGGGATTGGAAGTTTACTGCCCGACTGTAAACGGTAAAGCCTAAAGCGTTGTCATGCAGGTAAAACAATCGGCCCTAGTCTAGAAGACATGTCCCACAATACTTCACGTCTACAATACAATACACAATGGGTCATGCAGGGGTAGAAATTAACTTTTGAACAAGGGAGTCCAACGGACTCCCTACCCTCAAAAAGAGGAAGTCTGCAGCAAAATCAGGGAGTCCGCAGTCTGAGGTTCAAAATTAAAGATATTAACAACAACGCATGTGCTTATTTTTAAGATTCATGCAGTTTTTTGTCTGCCAAATTTTCTTTGAACATTAGCTGAAAAAATACGGTAATTCCGCGAGGCCGTGCTCTGGAACGAACTAGTTAGGCAGAATTTTCAGGGAGTCACACGGACTCCTGCATATGTCAAATCAGGGCGTCCCACAGTAAATCAGGGAGTATTTGACTCCGGACTCCCATTAATTTCGTACCCTGGTCATGTCTTCTAGACTAGCTCCAAACAATCAAGCAACTCTATAACAGAGGTAGACGTGTCTAAACTATATTGCTTGAGTGCGTGTGACTATTCCTATTACTTGGTAGTCATCAATCAAAACTAATACTACTAGTACTAATAGCAGGAGTAAGATAATATAGGAATATCTATATATTATCCTATACTATCCTTATATAAGGATCCTATATTATCTTACTCCTGCTAATAGTAATACTATGACTTGAAAGTTGACGTAATAACTAATTGATTATTCAGTAATTGTCTCAAGAACTAGCAATAATTATACCAATGGCAATGAATACGTATAGTAATACTATTACTTGGTTACGGTATTCATCACAAATCATGTGGCCGATCTCCTCAAACTCTCAACATTTATCGAAGATTCATTCAAGCTACGACAAGATCCACCAAAAACATAAATGGTGAGATATACAAATAATAAATTAAATCACACCACATATCCCAAGCTAAATACAGAGAGGTTTAGCCCAACAGTTGGGCTTTACTATTCCTACATCTGTACTCAGGGCGCCTGCAGTTTCCGATACCAACCGTTACTATCTGCGGCAACCGATACCACGCGATACTTACCGCGATAGTCTATTCACACGAATCTTGTTCGTCATCGTAGTTTAAGAGTTTGAATTTTATTACACTACTCACTAGTTTGAAGTGTTGTTTTTTGGTTAAAATAGAACGTTAAATTATGTTAAATAAAAAATATATTATTATTAATTATTATGTACCATGGGTCATGCAGTCATGTCAAGTAGTATAAGACACATCGTTTCTCTCTTGTTTTTATTAGCCTAGGAACTTATTCTATTGTAGTTTGTAGCCTATTTGCTTGTATGATCTGCGATTATCCGTGCAATAAACTTTATTTGAAGTTATTTGAATTTGAATAGCATTGCCATGGGCATTAGCAAGGGATCAGATCATTTAGCAAGATCAGGATAAAATGAATCCTACACTATTGTGCCAGTAGTATTTCTAAGAGCAAATGCGTGACACTTCATAAATATCTTATTTCCTTTTAACGTTGTTTTTCTTTGTAAAACTACCCCGAAAGATTTATGCACAACTCACCAACAGGGCGTCGCCATCTTGGAATGACGCGTACACAAAATAGGGGGCAGCACTGTTCGACCACAAACATATGATCTTGTCAGTCTTGTGTCAGAACTTATGTCATTGTCAGTAAGGTTATTATAATATAAAATAATGTTGTTGTGGTAATGTTTTAAACATCAGTTGGTGATAACAGTTGCGTAAGTCAAACACTAACTTCTTTGGAACATTATTTAGTTCTTGAGTAAGTTTACATGCATTATTATTAATACAAAAATGGCCCTTCCCAATCCCCAGTTCCCCTTCCTCAGTTCCTGTGACAGTGCCAGTGCCGCTGATAGGGTCTATGTCCCCCAGGGTACTGCCGGAACGTACCCTGGGTACGGTCCGGTATACCGGAACGTACCCTGGTAACTATCTAGCTGATATGGTTAGAGTTATTGTTAGGGTTAGGGAGTAGGCGTAGGCGACTCCCTAGACTCGTTAGTGGAGTAGGCGAGGTACGGTCCGGCATATTAGATAGTAGTATTTAGTACCAGGGTACGTTCTGGTATACCAGACCGTACCCAGGGTACGTTCCGGCAGTACCCTGGGGGACATAGACCCTATCAGCACCAGTGACAGAGTGACAATCGGCCCAAGCCTAGTTTAACACCCCGGATCAGTTTAGCACATATGCGAAAACACGCTATGCCGGGTCCCAAACCGTATCTTTGATCCGTGACAATCAGTGGATGTGTGACATGTCTGTGAGACTGTGACTGTGATACTGTTTTGACAGTGGCAGTGACACTGATGATGACACTCGGTTGCAGACTGCTGCCTAGTACTGTACTACTAGGGTTCAAGGATATAAGAGCTGTCCCCAATTCATTTTCGCAATTTGCGACATGTGCAAATGTGGTTGTGGACTGCTCTTATATCCTTGGGTCCTGTACCAGTGCCTGCATGGCTGCATTGGCACTGGCAGTGCGACTAGTACTACTACTAGTAGCACGCCTTGGACTAGTCTACAGTGCAGTCACGTAAATTGGATCGACTAGCAGTACTGAGTATGTAATTAATCCATCATCAACATCACCCTATTTCTACACATCTAGACTAATCGGTAATCCTACCTAAATCTAACTAAATTCTAACTTATAAGGCCATAATTAAAATCAAGGGTCTAAAAGTAGCCTTTAACTCCCCCCCCCCCTCCTTATGCCTACCTTCCACGCAGAATGGTGAAAATGATGGATGAAGTGGTGAAGATTAATGTAATAAAACCTACCAAATCTTAAAACACTCCCCAGGTCTGACAATCCATACATGTGGGTTAGCAGGTCTGTCGACGAAATATATAGAGTACCCCATACAGCCCCAGTGTGATTGCATTTTACAACAACCATAATATTTGTGCGGGATACCATATCGCACTGGACACCCACAATGTTCACACCAAATAAATGTAGATAGAAAATTTAGCCAACCTGCATCTTCTGAATTAGGCATTCACTGTAATAGAAACATTTTCCTTAGGATGCTCTCGTCGATTATCAATATGATATATGTGGTCCACTAGAGGAACATGCCATGTTCAGTAATCTCCATGGTCATGTGTCTCTCAGATAAGCATATAACTCTTGGAGAGATGTTCAGTGGACATTGAGAGGCACTAAAACTTGCTGGAGGCAAGAGTTTGTTAACTGATTACCGATTAGAAGATTCTATGAGGAACAAAGATTCTATTTGGATTAAATCTTGGGGTCATGGAAAATGGACCTGTGATCTGGAGAAGTCCTAAGAAAATGCCTGCCTTGTGTTTGCTGGAAGGTGTATGAAGTCTGTAAACTGTATGTAAGGTATTGTTTGATTCCTGAAAAGAAGGAATTGACACGATCAATATAATTGTGTCTCCACTTCAATTATTGCACTGGATTAAATGCAATCAAGGATGTTTTGCCAGTGTTCCAAAAGCATAAATCATTTGTTGCATGAAGATTCAAGCTTTTTAGCAGTTTAATTACAAACTAGCCATTTGCGGCCTCCTCCTTATAAGTCCCACCCATAACCCTAACTCTAAGTGCCTAACCCTAGTATCTAAACTTTCTTTTTGTATGTGTACTATTTGTGGCTGCATATTTTACATCCTAATTACATGTGTATACTTAATAGATTGATTGACAAGCATAGCTGTGGTTTTACCATACAAGCCATGTAAGAAGGCAGCATCACACCTTGTTGTATTCTGATCTATAGTATACTCATTTTGTGGGAAAGAAAATCACTGGCTAAGATGGAAACTGCAAGTCGAATGTATCCCTCCCTTAGCCACATTGCACTAATGTCGCTCTTGCTGGGACATTCTATTAGGAACCACGCTAGCAGATAACTACTAAGTCAGCCATGTATGTTAGGAGAGAGAGAACATGCTCTTCTGTTTATTAGCGGTGGCAGCACTATACGATACATCACACCCCAGAGCACACTGTGGGGGAATTTGTGTGTGATGTGTATAATAATTGATAGCCAATGTTGTTGCATGTTGCATTAGCTCCACAGCTGCCATGTTCACTGAGCTGTTAAGACATCAGCCATCTGTTTTAGTTTTCACGGATTAACTCGGAATGAACAAACTCAAATCGGTAAATGCTGGCAGTTTATTTTGTTATACACTGGCCTACAAAGACCCATTGTCTACAGGGTTATCATTGTTGATTGACTCGTATGGCCTTGACGATAGATTCACAATGTTGGTTGTCATCACACATTTAAACACTAACAGGCTAAGATGTGTGTGCATAACATTCAATATCATGGGTCGAAATCCTAAGGAGCCCGCGGGCCCGATGCCCGTATTTTAAGGCTCGGGCCTGACATTTCTAATACCAGCAAGCCCGACAGGCCCGTAGAAAATCTACGTGCACATTCTATTGCTGTAGTGCAGGCCAGCCAACAGTTAAAAAAGAGTCCCGAGAGTGAGGACACCAGGGAGGACAGTGAGAATTCTGACAGCTCATTAGTAGTCACTGAATATGTTCTTTATATTACTGTAAATAAGCAATTGTAAAAAATTCAAATTTCGTTTTTTTTTCGAGTTAAAAAAAAAATCTACGGTATAGATCTGCGGAATGATGCGGGCCTGTAGTTTGCCTGTCGGGCCTGTAAAATCCCTTACCTACATGCCCGACTGGCCTGTAAATTTTTTAATTAATTTCTACCCCTGAATATCATATATGCGAATTGTCCATGTACTACCAGCATGAGAGCAGTAGCGATAGCAGAGGTTGTCGAGATATCACACTATACAAAGAGCTGCCGAAGCGTCGTCTGCATCCCTCCATTCCTCGCGTGTATCTGCACCAAGCCTAACACTTGTGTTGGCATTGTAGAGATCAATAGGGATCCTTCGGCGACCACTAATAAAAGTAATCACGCTGTGGTACATAATGACGTAATGTGAGTTCGTGTGCTGATGGTCGAGCGTCCCCCGTCATGCGGTTCACTGTACCTCCAGCTGCTGCGTAAAGTTTTTTTTCGTACATGTGCTATTTCATCGAGGATTTGTGCGTAGCCTGGAATGCAACACCCAATTGATGCATTCTTTCGGCGCTGTTTTGAAAATACCTCGCGCTCACTTGCTAGTTCAGAGCTCACCCCGTTTTGCCTCTCAATGATTTATGCCGGTGCAGTGCAACTTCCAGAAATGTTAATTATTCAGCTATCTACTGTGGCATCTTACTCCAGGACTTAGAAGTTTTAAAACTTGCTGCTGATTGTTGGAGAAACATCAATCAGTTAAAACCCGCCTATTAGATTAGCCTGGAAGAAGATGACCAGCGACACACTACTAGCCAGTGTTCAGAGACCAGCGTAACCACTAACTGTGTGGTGAATACAAGATGACTAAAACATCTGGAAGGGTTCAATAAGACTTTAGAAGTTTTTCAACATGCTTGTCTTGATGCGTGAGTGTGGGGCTTGTCTTCTTTCACTAATGCATACAGTGTCTTGGCTATTTGCGAGCCAGATTAATGTTGATTAGGGATGACTGAGATCAGTTGGGACATGTCTGCGATTGATTGACGATGGCTGTGATCATTTGAAGATGGCTGTGATCAATTGGGAATTAGTGTGACCACACATTAGTTTTTAATTTATTGTCAATCACATATTGTACTCTTTGTTTGCAGAAAAATGTCGGGAAAAGTGAAGTCAGGTTATATGCGCCGATACCAGAGTAAGTATATTGCCTGTCTCTTGGAATACGATGGGCAACGTGCACACTACAGGTTTACATGCCATGTGTATAGCTGCTATTTTAGAAGCGAATAATGCTACAAACTCGTACTTGGACAGTATGACAGATTTATGGAGGCTTGTTTGTTAAGAATTATTATTAGGGTCATTTATTTATTACCATGGCACATTTCTTCCACAGAGCGGTTGTTTGGTAAGAACTGGAGGCGGGAGTTCATAGTGCTCTATTCAGACAGCACGCTAGCCTATTCCGAAGATCAGGGCAAAAAGTCCGATGGCTCCATATTTCTGAAGGTGAGTGTGCACGTATGTGCGCGTGTACACGTTCTACAC